ACTTCGTCAAACATCCCTACGATAATTTAAACATACAACTTATATATGATACTTAAATTCCTGTTAGATACTTTAAAAAGGTATCTATAAACGATACCTTCAACACGCCTACTATAACAGATACCTGCTTGATATCATAATCAAATAGCACTTAAAGTTGCGATATACAAATATCATACCATACCAATGTGATATTTGTACATAAAACCTTTAAGATACTGACGTACATGACACACTAGTATGGTACTTAAATGATACATACAAGGCCCATGTGTTACAGATGATATATGCAACTAAATTTATGATAATTAAAAGATCTATCTTTTTAATCTATCGTGGTCTTTTTGAGTACGAACTATGGCACAGATATTTAACACACGTGTTAAAGATACACAACACACACGCACACACACACAGAGAGAAAGAGAAAGAGAGAGAGAGAGGGAGAAAGAGAGAGAGAGAGAGGGGGGAGAAATACAAACAAACACACAATAAATTAATATCTATTAGAACAGCTATTAGAACGAGACAAATCGGATGAATAATATTAATACGGCTTTAGAAGAAAAACACAATGCACAATGTAACATAAAAAACTGTATGAAAAACGCAGATATCATTTTTATTGAGAAATAAAGTACCATTATCATCATTATCGTCATCATTATATATCATCAGTATATATCATCAATATATATATATATATATATATATATATATATATATATATATATATATAATAGCCAGCAAATAAGAAGCAAAATAAGAATCTGTTAACTTCATTCAACAAACAAACTGCTAGGTGTAGAAAATATACATAATTGTGATAAAATCATTGTTCATTAATGAATGAATGAATGAATGAGTGAATGAATGAGTGAAAGAGTGAATGAATGAATGAATGAGTGAATGAATGAATGAATAAAACATATATATATATATATATATATATATATATATATATATATATATATATATATATATATATGTAAAAATGTAAAAATTATGGTCTATTACCCACATATATATATATATATATATATATATATATAATCATTTATAATCGCAAATAACGGATAAAATCGTGACCCTAAATTAAAATTGTAGTGATCATTCTTGTCTCGCAATTTAGAAAAAACTAAATTCATATATTAGTGACACATAAGAACGAAGAGATTATTAAAAAATAAAACACACATCGCGCGTGTGTGTGTATTCGAGCTAAAAAAATCTAGGGAACATGTTTCAATAAAATATTAATTCTTTCCATAAACTTCAAAATATATATATAGACGTTTACATATATATATATATATATATATATATATATATATATATATATATATATATATACATGTACGCACACACACACATACATACGTATATTTATATATACACGCACACATATGTATGTCTATATATAAATAAGAACAAAAACTAAAATAGATAAAAGAGTTCAATCGCATAATTAAAAAACTCTTTCAAAATATATACATATATATATATATATATAAATATATATATATATATAAATTAGTAAGTTAAAAAACCTAAAAAATTCTTTAGTTGCAAGTTGCAGTCATCTTACTGGTAAATAGATTTCATCTGTCGTCAAATTTATTTAATTCAAGTCAATCAATCACTCAGTCAAATGAGCTGTCAATCAGTCAATAAATCAATCAATTAGTGAACAGACCAATCAACCAACCTACAACCAATAAATCAATCAATCGATTAAACAATCAAAAAACGTTGAGCCAATGGAACTTCATTCAGAAAGTACATACAACACATACATGCATACATACATACATGCATACATACAAACATACATACATACATGCATACATACATACATACATACATACATAAATACATACATGCATACATACATACATACATACAACATAAACACATACATAAATAAATACATACATGCATGCATGTTTCTAACAATCGCCTATATATAAAACTACAATCCAATCTAAGAAATAATTTAAATAAAAAATATTATCAACAAAATATAATAATAATAACAAAAATTATTATTATTATTATTATTAGCATCACCCTCTACTTCCTTTTTTCTATTTTTATAGTTTGAAAGCGTTAAAATAAATCATAAAAATCGTTACTAATCGTACCATAATTGCAAAAATATGCGCACAGATTACATCATATATATATATATATATATATATATATACATATATATATATATATATTCTAAATTATAGCGACAATAATATAAGCACGTGACGACATCAATGAAGAAACAATAATTGTCATTCATTTTATATATATATGTGTGTGTGTGTGTGTGTGTGTGTGTGTGTGTGTGTGTGTGTGTGTGTGTGTGTGTGTGTGTGTGTGTGTGTGCGTTTATGAGTACAGTATTTGTGATTCCAGATTTTAAAAAAATTTTTTAAAACAACTTTTCAATCAAATATGCTTGTGTTATATATATATATATATATATATATATATATATATATATATATATATATATATATTAATTATTTTTATTCATTTTTAAATTACTTCTTTAATTGATTAATTAATTTAATATTAAAAATCAAATCAAAAAATGAGATTTTCGAAAATTCAGAAATGAAAATAAAACGTAAAAATAATATTTCTTTCCACTCAAACGAAGAGACCAATAAAAGTTCCATTGAAAATATTCTACGTAAAACAAGTGAACGGTTGAACTGTGCCTAGCATGGCAGCTATATTATTAAGCAAAAAGTTTAAAACTTCACACACCATGATCGTAAAAATAGTTTATAAAAGAATTTTTACTGAATGGTTAAAGATGAAGGTAAAAACCTGTTTGTGTGTGTGTATGTGTGTGGGTGTGTGTGTGTGTGCGTGTGGATGTGTGTGCAGTAACTTTGTGATGTGTAAAGTGTAATGTGATTGTGTAACTTAATGTAATGCGTAGAGACTATATAGTTTGCACATAAACATTGTGTTTAACATTTCTTTGATATAATTAAATATTTGTATATATATATATTTATTGTGCGTGTATGTGTGCGTGCGTGCGTGTATGCGTGTGTGTGTGTGTGTTCTATTCATCTATTTTTTCATTCGTTACGTTCATTTAACTGTTCGTGTATTATAATATGTGTGAAAATACAAATTTATAAAAACAAATAAATTAATGGGTAATTAAATAAATAAACAAATAAATAAATGAATGAATAAATAAATAACTAAACATAGTGACAATAATAATTTATCTCTTATTATAGCTTATTTTTCACAAATGAAAGAAATGTCAAATGAATAGACAAGTACATAAATTAACGGACAAAAGATAAAAAATGATATACACAGTCAAATCGTAATTAAGTGATACATCTTGAGTGAGTACCAATCATTCTCTTTGCATTAAACAATCGCACCCGTGAGACGACCTAGCCCCACGTCGCCCCCTTCTTCTTATCAACCAGAAGGTAGGTATTCATGTCACCTTTGCCCTTGACGTACGTCTGACCTCTGAACTCAAAGTCAAACTTGGAGGACAATCGGTTTGCAATTTCTTCAGTTACCTTGACGAAAAAATTGTATAATATGGAAGTGTTAGTTAATCAAAAAAAGTAATGGGTAATTTAGTAAAGAAATCTCTACAAATTCTCACAATTCCATCAACAGCTTCAAATTTGACCGTCTACACATAGGACCATGCAGATTATTATGACAGAGTAACAAGGTACGTACCTGTATCTTATCATGTTCGCCAGTGGAGTACATACGACTGGCAATATTGACGGTATCACCCCAGATGTCGTACAGCAACTTCTCAGTGCCGATGACTCCCGCCGTCACCTCGCCACAGTTGAAGCCGATCTTCATCTCGAAGTTGAAGTTAAAGATGTCGCGATTGAACGCTTCCACCTTTTTTATGATGGCCATTGCAAAGTCGATCAGTGCGTACAGGTGGGCGTCTGGGTCTTTGTTCTTTCGAGGTAGAGAGAGAGAGGGATGTTATGATCATTAAAAGGTTCATCCCTATCAAGTTTTAATTGTCTGCATCCAGACATGCACTGACGTGCTAGACAAATGACTTACACGATTTATAATATTCAAAAATCTATTTAAATAAAAAATTAAAGTTTACCCCATAAAATACCATCAAATCCGAAAAAACGTATTTGAGATTGAAAACCGCAGAGGCAAAGAAAGAGACGAAAAAGTAGCAGCTACCTGTTTGCGCGTTCTCGGGTTGAGTCCAGAAGCAGCCATGAGACAGCTGCCGATGGTTTTGATCTTCTCAACATCTTTGTACTGTGGGAGATCGAACAACTCTTCGAAGTCTCCCATCATCTCATTCAACACGCGCAAATATTCTTTGCCTAGTGTTAAAAAACATTTTTACCGAAATTCAACGTTATAAAGCAATTCATTCAAAAGTAAATGGAATGATAACAACTAACATGATGAATATCTTAAATAAACAACACATATTTGCTAGAAAAATAATTGCTGAAATTGACGGCATGAAGACGAGCCTACCTCCTTCGTAGGACTCATCATAAAAATCTTCAAAGTTCGATATCTTGGCGAATATGACGCCAACGTCCTTGTGGTTCTCGCAGTAATGTTTGTTGTGCTTCAACTGTTCAGCCACATGTTCAGGTACAATGATGTGCAACAACCAATCGGCTTGCTCCTTCTCTTTCAAAATTGTTTTACGATCTTTAGCCACCTTTTAGTGAATTTATGAGCAAGTGCTGAATGGTTATTTTCAAGTTTTTATCAAATTACTAAAACTTCATAAAGAACAAAGCATTTATTCAAGCTATTTGAAAATGAGGCTGACTAAGTAAAATTCTTATAAACTAAAACACGAAAAATAATTTTCGAAACAAAGAACCGACCTGAAAGTCGCCATGGTAGCACAACCTGTATCCAACCTCCATGTCGTAGTTGATGATGGCGATCAGGAGTAGCAGCAAGAGAACCACTAATATCAGCTCATGCGCTAATATGGGATGATGCTTGAACCAGGAAAAGAGAGAACCTGTATCGATTTCTACCGGGGTAAGATTGGCGTGGGTAGTGAACAAGTGCGTAGTAGCCAGCGGACTAAAAGTGGTAGTAATATTTCTGAGACCGCTATTAAAAACATCGGATAATATTGAAAATCTGGTGAGAGTCTCGTCACAACAGACGGATAGGAAGACGAGCAGCAGAAGAAGAGCGCCCAGTACCGACGCCACCAGAGTTTTGATCCAAGAACTAATGAGAGTGAAGTTAGCAAAGTGAATGAGAGAACTGATGAAGAGAATGCAGAACAATATCTCGTCCACCGTTGCTCTGTTGAGTGGAGGTACACCAAGATTTTTTGGATCATCATAAGTTGTATCGTTCGGAGCTATATAGACGATTCCACTACTTGTACTACTCAACGTGCAACTGAACGAGAGTAAACAAACGATGGCAGGGTAGGCTGCCACAGAAATGTGCACGCTGTGGCGAATTAGCCAGCCCGACAGAATTTTATTAACAGATTTCAAACAAGTAGACTGAAACCTTGAAGAGAATGAATGAGAAGCGGCAAACAACACTAAAAAGAACAAAATGATCAAAAACAGTCCGAAAGCCAGCCAGAAAGGTATTCCAACTGGCAAGCAACAAATGCAGCCCAAGGAAACCAATAAGAAAAACACCAGACCCATAACAAGATCAAACATATTTGTAAAATGCGGCAAAGCACGACTTTTAACGGCGCAAGAATCATCAGTTTTGGAAAGGGACGCCGGTATAGTGGACACCAAAGTGTTCAAATCATCCAAACAATGTCTTCTATATTCACGTTCGAGAGCAGGATCGGTGAAGTTCAACGTGAACCTGTTGATGGGAGGCCTGTAGAGGTAGGTCTGCAGCTCCGAGCAGGATTTCATGCAGTCGATCAACTCGCGGTCGACCTTCGTCTGCAGGTCCACGGCAGCTGGCTTGCCATCTAGCGGCAGTAAGTGACTTGATATTTCCGCTGCATCTGAAGGCAGAGGTAATCGGTGAATCGTTGAAATGTTATATAAAAATGTAAAACCATTCATTAAAAATTAATTGTAGCGTTAACATGTGTGAAAAGTTATAACTTCAAGAATGGATACATGAAAAATATATAATGCCATTCATAATGTTTTTGTGTTCAATTGTCATTCTGAGGTGGTTAATGAATGGCGGTGAAATAAAATAGGGATAATTTATAGAAAATAACAATAATGTGCACGGTGATGAAGATACATATTGGAAAATATCAATGCTTAACCTCCCGCATCCATGTTAACGGTCGACTTCTTCGCCTTCAATAACAACAAATTATTTAGTTGAAACGCATCTTAAAAACATTAAAACATATCCATAAAGTGAAATTTAAAAAACATTAAATTACTGAAAAAAAGTAAATTTTTTTAAAAAGCTAAATGCTACCCACATCATCGTCGACTTCATTGGCCTGATGAGCTCCTGGTGAACCGTCGACCTTTGATCCTTCTTGACCTTGACCGTCTGAGGTCAAGTGCTTCGGTACTTGAAGCGATTCATCAGTCACAAAGGGAACGACGTGTGGCATGCGACTGACTATGAACCATGTGTCAATTGCTGCATGGTGGGTGATAGAATGATGATGACTCCAATGACGATGGCCACAGTAACCAGGATGAAGATAACGATCATAATACAAATAATAACAATATTAAGAAATATAGAACAGAAATTTACTAGTACACGCATGGAGGAGGAGTCAACCTCCTGCTACTAATAAACTTCGGCCTCCCATGACAAATTGTAAACTTTCCAAAAGATAAATGTAACGAAACGAAGAAGTAAGGTCATAAAAATGACGATGACGCTGGTGACGACGATGATGAAGTATGAGAGTCTGTGTGGAGTAGCGCCGTCGAACGTGGTAATAAAAGACGCTAAAAAAACAACGATACTGACATCAATAACGGTGACAATAACTTTAATGGCAGCCATCATGATGTGAAAAAAATCAATAACAATAAAAAACAACAACAACAATAGCATGCTATAAAATAATAATAATAATAATAGTAATAATAATAGATTTCACACTGGGATATTTTATTCATGTTCTTATCTTTATCTAGCCAGCCTTGTTAAAAGATAGAAAAATTAATTAATTATATTAAAATTCTGAAATATGTTTCACCCAGCACGCTATCGTAATCATCGTCATCGTCATCATCGTCGTCATCATCATCATCATCGTCATCTCTGTCGTACAATCATCGTCATCATCATCATCATCACCGTCATTGTCATGAAATTCTCCAATTTCTGTCATCATCATCGTCAACATATTTTTGCCACCACCATTTTAATCGCATCCATCCCAGTCAGCCTATTTCATCATGCTCATCACCATCATCATGTGAATTTCAATCACAATTTAATAATTTTTTTTCCTCTCTCCAACCAGTAAGAACAGCAAATGGTCATTAATGTTACCCTTTAACAGAAAAATAATTAGCGAATGTTATTCTTTTTTTAATCTTGTACGAATAATACACCCAGAGTCATAAGGTCCATCAGGGTCATCAAGGTCATCAAAGTCATTATACTTGTAACATCGTAATAATACCATGAGAAAATACTCGTACAATTAGGTGTGCACTATAAAGTACATGCAGACATAAATACATTTCCATGAAAGCAGGCACGCACACATACACGTACTCAGAAACATTTACTTACAATGTATTTGTATATACTTTTGTATGCATGTGTATATTATATACTTACTTATATACTCACATAACAAAATACGTCAAAATGATCTCAGCGTGTCTCCACACATCACTACCAACACAACACAACTGTTTGCGTGTACGTGTGCGTACGTTCGCGTACGTGTGTGCATGCATGTGCGTGTACGTGTGCATGAATGTGTGCATGAATGTGTGCGTGCGTATTGAATTATTACAATTCAATAACAAAATTATAGATCTTGGATGGTGTTATTGAGCTGACAAACCAAAATATGCTGACAAATAATCATGATAACAATAGAACGTGAAAGCAAAGCTACCTTTATTCTGCTAGTAAAATATTATTTTTATTATTATTATTATAAAAACAGAACATCTAACTAACTCAAGCAAGAACTGACGCTGCTTATATTATAAACAGCAAACAGTACGCACTGTAACTGTTCATGTGCTGCAAATGCACTTCAGCACACATCATAAACGGTAGAGTAACCACAGTCTCATCGGCCATTAACAACCAACAATCCAACAATAAAAACACACATCCATATATAAACACATACACACACACACCAATACATACATATAGATTCATCAACATAACAGACATGCAAATGTACGGACATATAAGCTTGTAAACTTTGTATAAACTTTGATGTTTTTACCGGTAAGGTATGGCATTACCATGGTTATCATATTAAAAAGAGAATGCAGATTTGAAGCCAGCTTGTCCGTAGTGATAGAGTGAGTGAGGCAAATAATTTGTCATCACCATGTTCCAGTAGAAACGAAAGAAGAACGGCATCGATGAATTGAGCGAGCTTTTTGGAAGCGGTCATATTTGTTTGCATGCACTGCGTATGCAGACGTACCTCAATAATTTTGGCTGGCCAGATTTGAAATTTTTTCTTTAAATTTTACTGTCGTCAGCCTTATGATAACATTTACTTGCCAAAAAAATTTTCGTTGCTAAACAAAAATTCGTTTCGTTTCGTTTGCCAAATGTAAGCCATTGATGATGATGATGACGATGATGGTGACGACGACGATGATGATGATGTTTGTGATGATGACCTTCGTGTAGATGATGATGATGGCAATTGCGATGAGACTGTTACCGGCAAAAATAATAAAATAATGAAAAAAAAAATGAAAAAAAGACATGACATGACATTTGACATAGCAGAAAAAGAAGGTTCGGGGTTGTACACGATAAGTGCATTAGCTAGCGTATATAAGTACATTAACGCCCACGTACCTAGAATAACACGTATGTGCAGATATGTGCAAACGTACGCTTATATACACTCATACGTACACGCATACATACACGCAAAGCATTAATGCGTGTGTACAGTACGTGTACGAACAGCATACAATATATACAATACAATACAATACAACGGTTTTCTTACTTCCTTCCTTGGAAACATGCTGTACAATGTACTGCTGGGTATCTGAGTCGAAACATTCGATGAGCGTTTTGTGGCCTCTGATGTCTGAGTGTTTGTGTTTGTTTGTTTGTGTATGTGTGTGGTGTGTGTGTGTGTGTGTGTGTGAGAGAGATTTGGAAACGAAAGAAAAAAAAGTGGAGAAAATGGAGAAAAAAGAAAGATTAATGTTTCACGCAAAATAGAAAGTGTACTAAGGGCTAAAGTTTTTCTGGTTTTAAATTAATTTGCAACAATTACCGCTGTCTAGAGATTAAATTATTTCTACATTGATGTAATTATTTCAAGACCATTTGCATTTCCTCGAGAACTATCCAGACATCACCCCAATCATCCATCAGTTGCAATGCTATTAACCACTCAACAAATTAATCAATCAATCTGCCTCTAAACTTTTAAAAACATTCAATCAACTAATCCACCTATCAAATACTCGTTAACAAGCAAACCCCTCAGCCAATCAACCAAACAACCAATCAGTCAACCAATCAACCATCCAACCAACCATCCAACCAATCATCCAATCGACCAACTAACTAACCAACAAATCGACCAACCAACCAACGAACCTGGTACTGACTCTCCTTTCTCAACAACATAATCATCTTTCACAAATTTGTACGTGTAGTCGGAGATGTGCACGCAACCAGGCCTGCCTTCAGATTCCATGGAGTTTGCAATTGTAACATCGTGAGACCACACGTCAAACTTGAACCTCCTCGTGCCAACCAATCCGCAGAGGACTGTCCCCGTGTGCACGCCAACACGCATGTTCACTTCTTCTTTGTGGTCTTCGTCAAACTGTTTGTTGGTGGTTACAATAAAATTTTTGAGTCTGTGTGTGTGTGAAGTGTGTGTGTGAGTGAAGTGTGTGAAGTATGTGTGTGTGTGTGTGTGTGTGTGAAAGAGAAAAAGAAAAAACATTTGTATGACAATGAAGACTTGTACGTGCGTGTCTGGTGTATGTGCTTGCTACACGTTTGTGTACGTGGATGTTATTTGAGCGATAGTGAGTGAACGTGTGCTTGCTAACATTTAAAAATGTCTTGGTGTTCTCGGAGAGATAAATTGTTGTGCAGTCGAACTGTCAGATGCAGATGATGTATCGTCGGTGTCATTGAAATCATCATGGAACTCTCTTCATGCATCCCATCGTCGTCATCTTCATCGTCATCATCATTATCATCATCATCATCATCATTATCATCATCATCATCATTATCATTATCATCATCATCATCATCATCATCATCATCATCATCATAACTATTATTAGTTCAGTCTTAATGGCTCAACAGAAATAAACATAATATTAAAACAATCACATCCACTATTGTCCGCTAGTTCTATTCAGTTCCAGGCTAACACCTTCTGACACATTTACACGGAAACGCTCATACACGTACATACATGCACACACACGTTCTTACACGCACATACATGCGCACACACACGCACATACATATAGTCGCAGAACAAAAAAAAGCTGAGTTGATATGCACTTGATATGAAACACGTTTGCGATAGCCACACATAAGAAACACATCTACACACACTCACACACCTACACACATTCATACACCTACACACACACACAAAATGTTCATGTTCACACATACAAACACCACAGCCTACTATTAATACTATATAAGTTCCCTATATTAAATACTTGGCTAAGCTGTGTGTGTACCTAAGATAAGATAAGCCATCTACATTTTAGGTCCAATGGAAAGCTGTTTGTTACAATTACCCAAGAGAGGAGAGAATAGCACGAGAGGAGAGAGAAAAAGAGAGAGAAAAAGAGAGAAAAGAGAGAAAGAAAAAAAGAGAGAAAGAGTGAAAAAGAGAGTTGTTGGATGATGCTAATTTAATGACACCACGTTCGGGAAATTAATTTTTTATTATTTTATATATAGACACAAAAAAAAACAAAGAACAAGAAGAGAACAAAACCAATGAAATTACAAATTTTTTTTACTGGTGAAAAACCATTCTGTCTGAAACAGCTAAGTTTAGACAAGGACGAAGATGACGACGGTGCAGTGCAGATGATGGTTAGGATGAAGAAATAATGATGCTAAGCTGATGATGATCGAGATGATGAAATAATGATGATTGCAATAGTGGTAGCAGCCCTAAAGACCAATATTTATTCCATCGTTATCACCATTATTATTATTTTTTATCAAAGATATCTTAAAGTTGCACACTAAAAGCAGAAGACAATTTCACAAAATTCATTAAATTTCTACATTTTCAACCTACAGTCCAGTTAAAATAAAAATAAATTGATAAAGCAAATATGAATTTATTTATTATATCACTTATTAATTTATTTAATAATTTATTTAATTAATTATCTATGTATATAATTGTAAATTAACTTATCTAAGTATTTAATTATCAAATTACTCTCGGCTTAATATCATAAGAAAGATGTATGGCCTGAAAATATATAGGTAGGCAGCCAGCCAGCCAACATGTACCGTACTTCTAAGAAACAAAATTACTAATATCACCCATCAGCAAGTAGTATAAAAATTACTTTCAGTATAAATTACTCTCAATAATAATAATCTTATAATACAATTACTACCTATAGAATACTACCCACAGGTACAAATACCTTATATAATGCCGGATACATTTACAATCATATGCCACATCATGATCGTTACACACAATTATAAATTATACAAATACTGTCCATATGATTAATGAGTATAAAATTACTAACCACAAACACACGTGCACACACGCGCATGTATTTACTTGATGTTTACATATTGTTACTGTATAATGATGAATTCATGTTTCTATGTGCGTGAGTGTATGTGAGTGCACATGTACGTGTGTATATTGTGTGTGAGTAGAAGAATATACAATCAATACAACAAATTCTTCTGAACAGCGGGTAAGACGTTGTATAATAGCAGTAATTCACACGCACACTCACAAACACACACATACTTACATAATGTTACACACACATACACACACACACATATACACACAGCTTAAACACATCAATGTCACATAGGGCAAATGTTTGTGTGAATGTAAATGTCGACAAGCCACACATAACCAAGGTTAAATTTTTTGAAGGAAGAAAAACGTTATAAAATACCATTTAAATTGCGTCATTATTTATTTATGGTTGTCACCGGAGCAAGGTTTTACAACTAAATTTCAAATTGCAAAGAGACAGTGAGATTGAAATAAAATTTTCAGAGTAAAATATTCATACAGCTTGCTTGAAACAACAAGTAGCAACATCAGACTTAACATTTTGTCATCAAAATATTTCAGTCAATTCATCAGTTAGTCATTTTTAGTCACTTTTTAGACATCACATCTTTAGTAAATGTTCAACTTATAATCAGTAAACATTATCATTCGGATTATCGCCATACGAATTTCATCATTTTATCTGTCTATCATCATTTTACATCAACAAACTGAAAACAAAACCAACGCAACTGTCAACCTTCAAATAAATACTGATAAGAAAAATTAGATCCTAAGTAAGTTAGTAGTCATAGCAGATCCATACATATAGATTGAAGATGTGTCGCTGGTCATGGTGATGCATATCAATACCACATGGATACCGTTTCAAACATTAATACGTCATAAAACGAACCTACTCCAACATGCTAAATACATTATTAACAAACTACACTTAACAATACTAACACACATAACACTAGATAACACCAGCAAACATGGTTAGTGGTATATAGTGAATGTGAATATACACATTTAATGCTTAAATAATATGTTGGATCAATAGGTTTGCGGATGTGATGTAGTCAGTCTGTGTCCAGTCCACAAATAAGTAAGTTTTGTGTTTAATACTTGCCACATTGACATACACTATATTTATGTAGAACAGCATTACTCAATGGCACGAGATGGTCAGCGTTGGTCGGCATAAATTCAATTTTATAAAATTTTTTCCGCTAAAATATTATGGACTTCGACCCTTCCCAAGCATGTTTGCATTTATGAAAGCGAGTGTGTGTGTGTGTGTATATGTGCGTGCAAGTATGCATGAATGTTTATACGTCTGTCTGTCTATATGTATGTATGTATGTAAGTATGTATGTATGAGTGCATGAATGTATCTATGTATGTATGTATGCATGCATGTATGCCGTGCATGCTGATGTGTGTGCGTGTACGAAAGTGTGTAATGTACTGTACATGTAACTATCAGAGGCGCCAAATTTCCAAATTTAATGAAGTTGAGGTGAGGAGATTTAATTAAAAACCACCGAGTAATAAAGGAGAATTTATTGATAAAAATTCCTATGAGAGTTGAAACAAATTGCAGGCCTTCAGGACGTGGAACGACGAGGCATACGCATGTGTGGTGTGACGTTGGTAAAAGTTCAATCCCAGTGGGGAAGAATCACTTTTAATAAGTATTACATGAAGGTGATTTGATGTCGTTTGATAACGCACTTCAAGAAACTGTATACACAGACGCACACATAAATGAATGTATGCATGGAGGAATGCACGTGTGTACGTGAATGTAAGTGTAGGTATAAAGATGCATGAATAGGCATTGGGCACAAACAAAGTACAACACGCTAAGTACCGTGCTGTACTGTGAGCTACATGCATTACAAGTTTTTCTGCTTGTTTATGTCTGTACTCAAAGGAGAATGTGGATTTTTTAAAAAAAAAATGAAACATCAATTCTATTTATGTCGCTGTGTTCTACATTCTCATTGAAACATGTATAGTGAGAAAATGAGTAGAGGGAGAGAGAAAGAGAGAGAGAGAGAGAGAGAGAGGAAGAAAGATGGAGAGAGAGGGAGAAAGTAAAAAATGAAAGATAAGGATTGTTTGTTCATGTAAAAATACTCTTGACAGTTAACTAAACACAACTCTTTTAGCAAACAACCACTGCCTACTTTATAATCCTCATCATTACCGCCATAATCCCTGCCATTATCTTCTTCATCCTCCTCAAAATTTTCATCATCACCCTGACGTCATCATCATCTTTATCGTCGTCATCAACATCTTCATCGCCATCATCAGAGATAGTGATAGTGAGGAGCGAAACAGATGTATTCATAAGATACAGTTTCATAAAATATTGAAAATATTTCTTATATCATTATTATTATTTTCTTATTAATATTATTATAATAATACTTATTATTATTATTATTATTGTTGTTGTTGCTGTTGTTGTTGTGGTTATTGTTATTTTATTCCTTTTTTTTCTTGTTTACTTCGGCTTTGAAAATCTATAAAGTAAGGAAAAGAGCCGCCTAACGCTCATTATTATAGGATTTATCATACGGCTGATGTTATTTAGTTCTACTCAGCTCTATTTAGTTTCTACATTACTTTCCTCTTTTTCTACTCTCTCCCTTTCTCTCTTTTTCTCTCTCTCTCTCTCTTTTTCTCTCTCTCTCTCCCGTCATTGACATTATTTGCACACAGAGAACTTTATGTTTCAATGATGTGACGATTACATCTTTATAGGAAAGAAAAGAATCCAGTAGCTAGCAGTACTTTTACTACTGCTATTACTGCTCCTAGTAGTAGTAGTAGTAGTAGTAGTAGTAGTATTAGTAGTAGTAGTAGTAGTAGTAGTAGTAGTAGTAGTAGTAGTAGTAGTAGTAGTAGTAGTAGTAGTAGTAGTAGTAGTAGTAGTAGTAGCAGTAGTGCAGCTCTTGAAATACTTATTTATAGGTGCATGGAAATTACCATGAACATCATCTTAACCATCAAAAGATAATAATAATTAATAATAAAAATTATAATTATTATTATTA